CTCTAGTTGTCAATAAAAATCAGGCAGGCAGCCACAGGTACCAACAGACCCCAAGTGATACTCACCCACCTGTCAGTTCTGGCTTCTTACATGAAGTGTGGCATAATATGCATATTTACTTTTCATTTTAATTTAGCCCATGTTGTCAGATTGCTATTAAAGTATGTTCAATGTGATTTACGCTCAATCACGTGCTTTTTTGCATGTACTTTAATCTTTCTATGTTTCTATTTGTTAATTGAATTAATTCTTTTTTCAGATTATAAGAATAAATTAATGCTCAAAATTGTTGCTTCTGCTTGAAAGGTAAAATCAGGACGACACCACCTCCGCATCATTTTAAGCCATGAAAAACCCTGTTAACTTGTACTGAAGTGAGTCAAGTCGGAACAATCCTTTAAAAGAATATTCCATTAAGTCCCCTGAGCTGTGACAGAGCAACCTCCGAGCCATAAAAATTTCCTATGGAAGTCTGTCTATGGATGTACCCCAACAAACACTATATTTTTTTTATCAATCTGGGAAGAATCAGAAAACAGCTCCGTCCAAAACAAAGGAGCCACTCTCCATGAATCCATGATAAATTAATGCCTCCTCCTTGAGGTACAAAATGAAAAGAGCTGAAAAAACTCCTCCATCTCATCAAACACATAGCCGCATCCCGCTCAGGAGACAGAAAAAAACCTTGCAAAGGTGAGGAGCTTAATTTGAATCATAACCCAAAACCCAGTGGGAGGGAGGAGAGAGTAGAGCACCAAAGAGTAAAAGTGACAGTGGCAGCAGCAAGCCATATTGCCCCGCGTTGGAAACCACATCTGTGGAGGCCCCTGAGATTTAATTTCGGATGCTCATGGGGAGCCTGTTTCTGTCTGTCTCGCTCAGGGGAAAGTGAAGGAGGGAATCCCTACAAACCCCACCCTGCCATCCGCCCGCCCCCACAAGACATCATGTCAGATTAATTTGAACCCAGGATGAGTTTGGCTAGCTTTAGTTTCAGAGGCTCTGGACTCCGATTTCATTAAGTGCACAGATAAAATGTCGGTTTACATTGGAACAAGAGAAGGATTTACAATCAATGGCCTGAGAAAGAGAGACAGAGAAAAAAAAAACATTCACGCCTGTCCGATAAGCAAGGGTAATTTACGGCTGATTTCAAGCCTCGATGTTAACAGAGTGCGAAATAACAGTTCGCCCTTGTTCCCTTTTCACTAAGGTACTTATTTAGATGAGCAATCAAGCCCAGCGGTCGAGAGACAAAGACATCATTCCACCACATATCACTTAAGATGGAGAGAAAAAAAAACAACTTGACCAAAAGGCAACAAATTAAGACCAAAACTCAACAGGCATTACAATCACAGTAAGCTACAGTAGTACATGAGGGCAGTGAGCGTACTGGAATCGAACAAAAAATCAGATGAATAAATACAGCTATGAAGTCTCTGTTGGTATTGAAAAGGAAGTGTGGAGTTATTAATTTACAGTGATCAGAGCGCATCTGGGTCTGGGCAAGATTCTTCAGGGGGTGGAGAAGAGACCGGCGGGAGAGACTGTGTGGAACGATGCTGGCTGCCAGGCAGCCTAGTGCAGGACCATTAGACAGAAAATGTCTGTTGCGCATTGGGAGAGATAGTATTTAAATATCATGTCACTCTGTCACAGTTTACAGCAGGGGGTCTGTGTGTTTTCACAGCCAAATAAAAAAGGAACAAGAGACAAAAAAAGCAAGAGACGAAAGTAGACTAGTGCTTGAATTTTATGATCTATTGAAGAAAAGGTTAGATTTTTTGCTCATAAACGTTTTGGTTCAGTAATCAGGGCTTTAATTAAGTGTTGTACAACATGGTGAAATGAACTTTCTGTGGTAATCAAAATGTTGTCACTGAGAGCGTAATGTAAAATGATGGACTGCTTAAGCTATTTGGAATTGTGGCTTCGTTGCACCATTGACTTCCTGTCGCATGCCTTTGAGGTCGACCTTGCGGAAGAACTGAAACCCTGCTTTGACATGAAGTTGGATCGAAAGTCGAATCTATTGTTTTCTGGGAGTATCCTGGGAGTGTGAGCAGCACTACAATTGTCTAGGGACAGGAGTTTATAAACAAAGGTAAAAATAAAAGGTGAAACTGCATCTAGAATTGTTATTGAGACTTCCGTAATTTAAATCCAAAAGACTTTGGTGCATCATCGTGAACATAATAATACTGACTTAACTACATTTGTTCTCATTAGCTGCAAATGGACGTCTGCTCGCTTTGGTGCATCATAATGCTAACATCCTATAAAAGAAAGACAAATCTCCTCAATTTCACAGCGGGCCAGCCAATATAGGCAAAAATACATCACAGACATAAATAAATGTCTCACACGCAAGCATATGCCTTTGTGTGCTTCAAAGCAAGCAGTTTTGCTGCTTCAGCGTCTTCCCCTGTATAATACATTGACTTTTTTTTTTAAAAAAGTAAAATGCCTGCTATTTCCAGACTCAGCCAGTGTCTAAGTTGTTTCTCTCAGTGCTGAGCAGTGAGAAGACAACATCAACAACTACAAACCGTCAAGGAGAAGAGCAGGATTCAGAGCTGCTGAAAATCATTAGCACTCTGGTTCTCCGAGAAGCTACACTGTCAAGATTTTAAGTCTCACTTTGCATAGTGATGTTGACAAATCCTATGGTATCATGGGAAAAACAACCCTGACTGCTACCATCCTCTTCATTTAGATTCAATTCCAGTTTTATATGCCTTTGAGCTTTAGAGAGCAGGAACAAAAAGCTATGGGGATTATTTAAACTGTACCATGGTAAAAGGGTCTGATGAGGCTAATGGCTCTGATGATTAAAGTCATTTGCCAATCTCACCCCATTGGTTAAATAACAGATACATGAATATTCAGGGTGTGTGTGGATTTTGGGAGCCCATTTTTGGACACCTGTTGACATGTTTTGCAGAAGATAATTGCTTCTACATCTCTTTTTAGACATTTAATTAAGTTTAAAGAGCAAGGTAAGGCCTTGGGTATGATGAAAATCTACTGTCTGACTGATGTTAACATACTACAAGAGGTAAACGTAGGCGTGTTCTGTTAAAGCATCCTTGAGATACGCATCCACACCCTAATCCAGCACAAAGCATATCAGACAATTCATTTCAAATAATCAAAATAACCTAAAAAAATTCCTAATTCGGTACAGACTGTCCTACTACTGACCTAGATGTTGCCGTAGTGCAATTGCTATATGGCGTTAGATAAAATAGTCAATTTTCAACTGCTCTGAAGTCTTGTGAAAATATCAGTCAGTCTCAGTCTTGTACGTAGGGTGATGTAACATAGTTCTGATGCATAGACATGACAGGGCTGGACGTAGGAGGTGGCTCCTCAGAACAGCTGGGCTCTGGCAAGCACCGAATCCCGTAGGGAGGGGGCTTGAAAGGCGAGGGGAAAACAGGACGCAATTTGGCTTCGATCTCGCTTTCTCCCTGGGATGTGCCTTTTCAAGACCTCTAGGCCAGCTTCCTGTTGGGCAGTCATCCCAAAATGCCCTCAAGCTGTGCTGCTTCAACTGAAGCAAGTGAAGGGTTCTTTATTTGTGTATGTGTGTGTTTATGTGGTCTGCGGTTATGTTGTTGGAGTCAACAACTGTAACCTGAAGAGGACTTTGAAGTAGCAGAAATCTCAAATGGTTCCCTCTTCCTCTAGTAACACCAGAGCCTTCCTGCCACCTTCAAACCTGTCAAATGAGCCTTTAGGTGGCTCCTGCAAAAAAAAAAAAAAAAAAAAAAGAAACTGACTTTCCCATGGGAAACAGTCTCAGACTGTCAAACCAACCTTCATGTTTCAGACAGGTCACCAGCTCAACTTCAACATTTAGGTAGGATGTAGCTGACGGCTTGGTAAAACACTGTCAAATTCATTGAGCACCCTATATAAAACTGAAATCCAGGTGAGCATGATAAGAGAAACATGAAGAACAGTAGCACACCAAAAGTAATCAAACCTATGACACAAATATATCACTCATAGCAATCAAATAGTCAAATAGTATGCAGCAATGTAAAAACTCACTGAGCAATAAAAATACAAAAGCTCATTCTTCCTAATAAGCCAGAGACATGCAAATTCCTTCAATCTTGAATGCTCAGTAACAAGTGGCACACAAAAGAAGGCAATCTGAGCTACAAGAAAGAAGGCACCTCAATTACTAAACTCTGCACACTGGCTCTGATATTAAAGACCTAATGAAAAACATTAAATTTAATACTGTGACCTGGTTTAATATTCCACACTTCTAAAAGAAACTATATTCTTCCGAGAAACAGAAATGACACCATTTACATGTATTGTATGAAGGGGGAAAAGACGTTCAAACCCTTGAAATGTCGGCGTATTATTAGAATTGCGGCTACACATAACATGACGAAAACTGATTAATCATTTGATCACAACTCAAAACACACACACACACACACAAACACGGAGAAGCAGACGACTGCATTCAAACTGCAGTGTTTCCAGAGGAACGTTCAAATTTAAGCAGGAAATACATATCTGACTATTTAATGAAATTCGCTCGACCACTTGTCACACTGGAAGATGGAATGGCTATACATACGTGCTGTCCTCCGTGGACTGCTCCTCTCCCTGAGGAAGCATACTAGGCTTGTCAGTGAGGTAAAGTTGAGACCCTATTCGCCAGCCCGTGGGGTAAAAGTCACTACTATCCTATATGTGTTTAGGATGTCTAGGTGATGGTCGGGTTAGAGAGAGAGACACCTCGCGTTATGTGCACGCGCATCAATGACAGAGGGGTCAAACCCCTCGCGCACCGGCCGGTTGTCTCCTATCCATCAAAGTGGAAATGCGCGCGAGACACAGGAGCGTTCATGCGCTGACGCAGAAGCGTGTCTCGCGCTTGCCGCCTTTTACAGGTTTGAAGGACAAAAATCCGTTGAGGACTTCACCAAACACCCCACAAGAAAGAAAAAAAAAAACAGCACACTCACTGTTTTTCAGGATCCAGACACTCTGTTCTCCCTGCGGCACTTCGTCACCTGTATATCCATTCCACAGCTGTCCATTTCCACGACGCTTCCACCCGGTGTGTTTCTCTGAGGTAAAAAAGGGGGGAAATTGTACGTACACACTGTCTCGACCTCTCTTTACTCAGCCTGCCTACATGTTGCTGACTAGCTCTCTCCCACCCTCCTTACCTCCCCCTCCTCTCTGTTTCTCACTCACTCAGTCTCTCTCTCCAGTTATTTTGTTAAAATTCAGTATATACGCCCCGTCACCTAGCAACCTCTCTCTCCCTCTCTTCATCACTCGCGCGACACGTGTTGAATGCTAAACTTGCCGTTGTGGACGGTTGCAGGAATATCTTAAAAGCGCATGTACACGCGCCGGTGGCGTATCACTATGCAATCAAGAGAGTTATTATAGCCCGCTTCCTCACAGCCTCCTCCCGTCCTTTACCCGGGAAACGTTCCCGCTCTTTCCCACTACAGCCCCCTGAGACGCAACTTGGCGTCTTGCCGCCTAAAAGGAGACATGTAGAACGTTAGATAATTACTGCCAATTATCCTTTAACATTGTGTGCTCCTTTCTGTCATTGCGCTCCCCAAAGTCGTTTTTACAAACCGTTCATTCTTTTAGTTATCCAAATGAGGGCTGCCTGGCGCAAGGAGAAAAAAATGCGAGTTATATTGATAGCGTTGCAAACTCTTTTTTCTGTTTTAATCCTACTCCTCTCTGCTAGCCGGTCATGATGTTGTCCTCTGCTGGACACCAGGGTGTTGAATGCTGCAGAGAACGTGAGTGTTCAGCAGTCCGTCGTCCTCTCCGAAGGTAATCACTTTTTGCCGTATATGTGGACGGACTGGGAAATGCAGACTGAGGGGGGAGATGATGTGTGTGTGTGTACACTTTGAATAGTATAGTGTTTGTTTGCAAAATTGAACTGAATTTGGCCACGCCCCACAGGAAGTTAAAATATATGGGCGGAAAGAGATGTTGATTGAATAGTAAGCATCAATAGCTGTTTCCCATTACGTTCAAATTGAGCAAATTGAAACGGCAAATATGCCAAATAGAAACATATAATTTTTGCAAATACTCGGTTATAGTGCAAAAAAAATGTTTTTGAGCTCATGGTTTTTCCAGACGAATAGATAAAAAGAGAATATTTTGCAAAACTGTAATGGAAAGTGCATTGGATTTCCCCCCTACATTTACAAGTTACCTGACATAAACAGCAGTTACATGATTAGTGTTTAAATTATACATTGGTTAACGAGTTGTTTTTTCAGCAGTTTGTGTTATGCATGCTTCAGTGAACCAAATTCATTCATTCATTTTTCCTTCAGCTTAGTCCCTTTTTTCATCAGGGGTCTCCACAGCGGAATTAACCGCCAACTTATCCAGCATATGTTTTACGCAGCGTATGCCCCTCCGGCTGTCACCCAGTAATGGAAAACATCCATACACACTCATTCACACAAGGGTTGTAAGATTATGCCATCTTCCATCGCCGATGGCCGAAAGACAAAACCCCAGAGAGGAGTGCACGTCGGACAGTTTAGGATGTACCACTGGATCGTCGCTCACTATAGTTGTTAAACATGATATTTCATTAATCTTGTCTCTTTCTAATGACTCTTCTGTCTTTTGAATCTATCAGGTAACGTGTCACAGCGTCAATACACTGCTTCAATCTTTCGCTTTCATGCTTTTACTTAATCATTTTAATGAAAATATTAGATACTGTTGGTTGGTTGCTGATAGTTGCGCAACTTTTTTTCCAACTAAGTTTGTCGACACCATTTTAACGACACAGATTACTCTGCCTGTTCATGCCAGAGTCCCACCTAAAAAGGGATTAACAGTTGGTAATTTGTGTGTAACTAATCTATATTTATTAATAATTTGGTTATGGGCAAAACTAAGACCAAGCGGCTCAGGTAGTTGACACGCTAGGCTAAAAATAATTCATTCGTTATGAATTAATTAATTATGCATAAATAATTAATTTCAATGCCACCTATGATGACGATCCCATCGTTCATCGAGATGTTTGACATTACATATCGTACGATGCCAAATTGGTCGACATCACCCAACCCTAATTCCCACACATACACTATGGCTAATTTAGGTTATTTAATTCACCTATAGTTCTTGTCTTTGGACTGTGGGAAAACCGGAGCATTCGTATGAAACCCACATGAACAGGGGAGAGCATATAAACTAAACTGCCAACTGGCCTAGACAGGACTTGAACCAGTGACCTTCTTGTTATAAGGTGACAGTGCTAACCACTGTGCCACTATGTCACCCTATTTAATTAAATATAATTTATTAATTTAATGTATTTTAGCTGTCAGTGTTTTCAGGGATAATGGGTTAATTTCTCTGAGAGGCTATTTCAACAAACATGTCATTCAAGAAGACAACCTATTAGCAAGTCAGTAAATTCTACTATTAAAAATTTTCATAGAAAACTTCCATATTTCATTAATGTATAGTATGACAGCATGTCCTAATTACTGTACACACAACTACTGTACAGTGCTGAGACCCTCATGACATTTCTAAAAGTTTCTATTTCCGCCAAGTCATGGAAAAACATGGCAAGTATCACCTCAGGTAAGCCTACAGATTATGTGCTTTATTCATTGTTAACGGCTACCAATGTGAGTGAGTTTAAAGTCTACTTTTTTTCGTATTTTGATGCAATTCCTAGAGAAATGGAATATTAAATGAGAAAACAGTGGGCGTGGCTTGTTTTTTCTACCGCGAGCTGAATGGATAGTAAAGTAGGTATTTTATTCAGAGCGATCAGAACAAAGAAAAGGGTTTTAGAAGAGTTATTACAACCTAACAGACTCCTTCTCATCAACATTTCTGCTTGTTATCAAAACTGACAGTTGGAGAGGTGCGGTTAAGTATGTTAGCCACACCCATTACCACAAAAACACTTAACCTGAGAATTTGACAAAAAAAAACGGAAGTGCATTTTCAGATTTTAATTTTAGATTAGAAGGGCAAACTATTTTTTTTCTTTTCTTAATGACATGCACAGATAAATTGTTTACCACAAAACTGCCAATGACTACGTTTACATGGACATCAGTAATTTAATTATTTGCCTTAATCTGAATAAAACAATAACATGATTAAGGTGTTTCCAAGAGTTGCTTTTTGTATGTTTCTTTCATGATCCCCTTTTACATGCTATAGCACATAATTGCATCACCACGCTATCCATATTTCCTCTGGAGTTTCATGTAAATTGGGGTGTTTCATTTTTAATTTGTTGACTTTCACTGCAGTTTGGCTCTTCATTTGTTCATTCAGAATCATTGTAAGCATGCATGTATGAACTACGGAAAAAAGTGTTGTTTTGAACTGTATACCACACGCCGTATGAGGGAAAAACCTTCACATTTCGTGATGCATGACTATCTTGTTGTAAAATGCAAGGATAATCCTACACGACGATAATAGTTTGATTAAGGTGTTTACATGTCTGTACTGCACTTCAATAATGGGACTAAAATCGACTTGCTCCACGTCTTAATTTGGTTTCTGTTTAGGTTGATTATGAATTTAGTCGAATTAAGTTAATCAGAAATCGCTGTTTACATGGTAGACTCTTAATCAGAGTATTGTCCTAATCGTATTAAAATCTGATTATTGGTGTCCATGTAAACATACTCAATGTGAGCTAACAAAATCAAATAATTAGTTTTGATTTCATTCGAACTTTAAATATCATTTTACCTGACATTTATTGCCATACTACTGAAAGCAGCAGCAGATAGTTTACCTCAGATCTTGAAAATTAAATAACGTCTTGAAATCTAAAGTCAGAACAGTGATTATAACCCTTACCATTTTATTGGGAGTGCAGTGCACGGCTGAAATGTACACCCACTGAACTTCAAATGTAATCACTCGATTGAATGGGCATTATCAGTGGTTATCAGCTAATGCATATGGGCCAGTAGGGGCCTTCTGCGCCCACTGGTAGGCTCGGAAGTCTGTTATTATCCATCCACATGTTTAATCAGCTATACTAATAGAGAAGACTACAGATTTAGATATACTTTTACATTACTGTAACGGTTGGGTTTAGGGGTAGACGTTAATACAATACAATTAATGGGAAATTTATTAAATAATATAAATAATTTTCATTAACTTCTGGTCTGTGATCTATAGCTGATTAACCATATGGATGGTTACAACAGGCCCCTACTAGCCCATATCTTATTATCTGATAACCACTGATAATGCCCATACAATCAAGTGATAACATTCGAAACGGCTGGAAGTTTTTAGGAATGGCTGGTATTTAAATATTGCTGTTGTGTTGCCTCACATTTGGTGCAGACATCCAAATTGCCTGTTGCTGGAATCTTGTCACGGCACATGTTGTTAGGACATGGTTTTATACACCAGTTTTTGAAGTACAAACACTACACATCATAACTTTGTTACACAGACAAAAAGACAACCGCAAACACGTGGATGAGAAGGTCATGTAATGAAACAAAGCTCATCACAAACATCTTTTCCCACAAGCAGAGCAGCATACTAATATATAGAAGACGCTCAGTGTCATTCACACTATTAAACACCATCATGGTAACACACATCAAATTAAACGAATGCAATAAACATTATTTATCAACATTAAATATAACATACAACTCTAATGTACATAACTCATAAGAAAAAAATAGTAATGTCAACAAAAATAAAGTGTTATGCAGGGAATTCTGGGAAAGTCAGTTTACAGTTATTAAACATATAGGAAGAAAACTTACTGTTAACTAGGTTATGAACTGTTACTGTAGCATTTTTACAATGTATTACCATTTAAATGATTCAATGTTTGCAGAATGATGGCAAGTTCTTATCCCTGGTCATAGATTGATGGATGATCATGAATGATCGCTCTTTCTGTTTAACTTTAAGTCTGTGTGAAATGGAAGTTGTTAGACTTTTATTTAGTTTAACTTACTTTGTCTTCAATGTGCTGGCATAGGCATCTATTGAAATGTACACTATGAGTGATGGATTGTCAAATTTTACTGTACCTTTACAGGCTATATGCACATAAAACCACCTTATTTACAGGAAAATGTGTCAGTTAAACGATTAAAGTTGGTAGAACATTTGCCAGTGTTTTGTCGATTTGTCCAACCTTGTCAGATCGTTCTATCTCCCATTTAAAAAGTAGGTAACACATTTTAATGACGTTTTGATCAGCATTAGATTTTGCTACTGTTGTAAATTTTAATGTTGAGTAGTGTGATATGAAGCTGTAATATCGTCCTAACCTATCTAATCCCTATCCTCAACCTCAGAACCATTAAAATATAGTGTTGGTAGCATAATCTGATGGGCATGATAAAATGTCAGGACACCTGGTCTGGAGTTAACTTTTTCCTGTATAGTCTGCTGGGGAATGTCATGCACTCAAGAGGGATCAATCATTGTTTTGGAGGGTCAAACCCTTATTTCCTTATTAACATCCAGATGGACCAGATCTATATAGCCAATAGTCTCTAATAAACTTAACAATTTTATAAAAGTGTGATTTTAATGACCTAACCTGTCAATGTTGCTCAGCAGCATGGACAGCATCTGGATGTTTGTTATTAGTATATAGCTGTAAAGATAGTTTCAACCCCAATTCACACTGCATAAACAGATGCTCACCAAATAACAGCACGTCACTTCTCAGCAATTTTTTTTTTGTCACGACGAGTAAAAATTCAGCATCTTCAATTGGCAAAAATAAGCTCCAACAGATGCCAACAGGTACCGACTAGGGTCACAAGCTGATCCGACAAAAGCTGACGAAGTGTCTGTTGCCATCTGTCTGTCTTCGTCAGTGCAGTGTGAACTGCCTTTAGGCTAAAAAACTAAAAAGAACTTTGACATGAGTATTTCCGGCCATTGACTCACAGTCAGTCTCTTGTATATCACGTGCAAGATTGTAAGTTTGAGCTATAGGGCTGCACAATATATCATTTCAGCTATCGCAATGTGCAGATCTGCAATAGTCACATCGCAAGATATGCAATGTTGAGTCTGAATTTTA